ACAGCTGGATCAACCAGCGCATCTACCAGTGGATCAACAGCTGGATCTACCTCTGCATCTACTACCGGATCTTCTTCTTCATCCACCACTGCATCTAACCCATAAAGTATCCCACCATCTTGCCAGTAAGACAGTATTATAACTACCCCTAATAACTATCCTTCCTAATGCACAAGAAGAATCCAGTAAATATAATCAGTATTATAATGAACAATTGGAATGTACAGTAAACACTTACTTTGTATATATTTCAGAAACTTGCAGTATTAAAAGCATTATTATTAAATGCTTCATAATGTTTATGTGTGAATAAAAATAGAACATATAATTAAGATTTATTTTACAATTCAATTATTTCCATTCATCATTTTTCTTCGTAATTTCAGTAATTTGTGTCGTTTCATAATTTAATTTACTCACATATCTCTCCAATCACAAATCCTCTTGAATATCCACCATTATCTGTCTTCAACTCATAAAACTGTCATCTCTTTCTCTATCTCTTTTTCTTTTTCATATGTGTATAAAACATGAAATTACCCTACCACCCAGGTGATAGATAGAAAGAGAAAGAAAGTGTGAAAAAAAGAAGACTCTTTCTCTCTCTTCCACTTCTTATTTTCTAGTTTCTCGATACCTACGCTCTTTGAAAAAAGTCGTGCCTCGAGGAGCTATGTTTCCATGTATTGGGAAGGGTTCCTCTAGGATGAAGGGACTGCGGAGAAGGGAAAAAGGGTCGCTCAAGCGCGATATTTCCACCTTAGTGCCTCGACCGTGCACGCTAAAATACATTTTCCTAGGAAGTGTCGTCAGAGAGGAGGGCCTCCAGCTGCTGGTCCTGATATTCCACATGCGTAATGCTCACGCGGATATTTCCATACATAAATTTTATCCTACAGGAAAGTAGGTGCACGTCTACGACAACGAAACGACAATGACAACGATGACGACGTGTTCCGAAACGTGTGCGAAAAACTACCACGTAGTAGGCTATCTTTTACTTTTTTTTCTTTTCATTTTTTTTTAAATCGTATAATCTTTTATTAGGGGCTTTTTGTACGTCCTGTGAACGAACAATATAAAATCTTTATAAATTCAAGTGTTCTTGTAAAAATTTACAAAAAAATAATTTTTTTAATTGTCAGAATTTGTTCTACTTTATTGGAACGTTTAACAATTCACTGGAATTTTCGGTTCTTCCGAATTATTACAAGTTTGACAATATCGCGAAGACGTGTCAATAGAAAGTACAATTCCATTTATTTATAAATTTTCGATGACTGTTTGAACAAGATTAGTCACTTCGTCCCATTTACTAAATTTTATCTGTGACCAGCTCATCGCAATCTATTTTGTTTTTATCTTTTAGAATAATTGAATTCAAAAACTTAAAAAATAAAAGATATATAATCGATGATTTTTTTTGTGATAAGTAAAAATAAATCGTTTTTTCGATATTAATCTTTCATTTTGATATCAATGAAACCAGGAGCTATACCAACAACTCATACTCAAGTCATACCGGAAACTGCTGATTTAGTTGCATTGTACGCAATCACATACCAGGTGGTACTTCATATGCCATACTGCTAGACAAATTCATTATAACGTCTCTTTGCTTATTTACATCAGATTTGTTTTCTTCCATCAAACCAAGTGCCAATCGTTTTACGTTAAATATGCCCCATACATTGACGTCAAGCAGTATTTCAAAAAATTTAATAAAATGTGGTTTCTTTTCTTTAAAATTATATATCATTTCAAAACTGGAAAACACTAGCATTATTAACGAGTACGTTTATTTCACCAAATCTACTTTTGACTTATTTTAAACTCTCAACTACGTCCTTTTCTATCCTAACTTATAGAATTTATTCGAATTTCGTTTAACCGAGATTCTAATTTTAAAAATGATTTTTTATTTATTTTCTTATGAAATT